CACAGAATAGAGAATAGAATAGAGAATGGAATGGAATGGAATAGAATAGAACACAGAATAGAGAATAGAATAGAGAATGGAATGGAATAGAATAGAACACAGAATAGAGAATAGAATACAGAATGGAATGGAATGGAAATAGAATAGAATCCTTTATTGGCCAAGTGTGATTGGACACACAAGGAATTTGTCTTTGGTGCAGATGCTCTCAGTGCACATAAACGAAAAGATAACATTAGTTAAGTATCATAAGGTACAGCACTTAATGATAGTCATGGGATACAAATAAGCAATCAGGAAACAATCAATAGAAATACAAATCATAAGGATACAAGCAACAAGTTACAATCCTGCAGTCATAAGTGGGAGGAGATGGGGGATAGGAACGATGGGAAGACTAATAGTAATAGCAATGCAGCCTTAGTGAATAGTTTGACAGTGAATTATTTGTTTAGCCGAGTGATGCCATTCGGGAAGAAACTGTCCTTGTGTCTAGTTGTCTTGGTGTGCAGTGCCCTATAGCGTCGTTTTGAGGGTAGGAGTTGAAACAATTTATGTCCAGGATGCGAGGGGTCTGTAGATATTTTCACGGCCCTCTTTTTGACTCGTGCAGTGTCCATGTCCTCACTGGAAGGCAGGTTGGCAGTAATGGTTTTTTCTGCAGTTCTGATTCTCTTCTGAAGTCTCTGTCTTGTTGGGTTGCAGAGCCAAACCAGACAGTGATGGAGGTGCAGAAGGCTGACTCAATAATTCCTCTATAGAACAGAATCAGCAGCTCCTTGGATAAAAACTTAGAAGGGATCCTCCATAGTTTCTTGGGATGTCATGGAGACAGGAGAAAAACCTTGATTTGCAAAATTCTGTCAATGCAGCTTCCCAGTCAAGTAGCATTAGTTCATCCAGTTGTTATTTCCTGCCTGAGCCTACGCTGATAAACCGGGTTTTCTGAAATTATGGGGAACCTAGAAATCAGGTTAATTCAGATCCTGCTTCAAGCAGGATGCCTGAATAGAGTTTCTGAATTTACTGGATTTACAAAGCAGTTTTGCCTCCTTTTATTTTACAGGAATTAAAAATATTGACTTGGGGAAATTAGTCCTTGATTCACAACCCCAATCAACTCCAAAATTTCTGTTTCTAAACAAGACGGTTGTTAGGTGAGTTTTGCCCCATTTTACGACCTTTCTTGCCACAGTCGTTAAGCAAATTGCTGGTCGTAAGTGTGAAAAATCCATCAAGACTGCCTCCCCCCAGTGCCGTTAGAACTTTGAAAGGCCATTCCATTGATTTATTTGTTATTTTATTTAGAAAAATTACATGGGAACTGTTGCAAGAGGTGGATTACCTATATTTCGGATTGCTCCTTCCGGCTTACCTCTTTCGTCCATTCAGACAAGATATGAGTGCTTGGGCTCCGAAAATGAATGTTCAGCTCCACCGTGCACACCACTATGACTGCAGTCACCAGAAGCATGACGAAGAGCAGGTACCTATCAGCATCATACATAACCATTTATAAAATAGCAATAGCAATTGCACTTATATACTGCTTCATAGTGCTTTACAGCCTTCTCTAAGCAGTTTACAGAGTCAGCATATTTGCCCCCAACAGTCTGGGTCCTTATTTTACCCACCATAGAAGGCTGAGTCAACCTTGAGCCTGGGGAGATTCGAACTCCAGACTGTGGGCAGAGTTTGCTAGGAAGGGAGGGAGGGAGGGAGGGAGGGAG